TGATGTGTGTCTGCCCTGTGATGTGTGTCTGCCCTGTGATGTGTGTCTGCCCTGTGATGTGTGTCTGCCCTGTGATGTGTGGTGTTGGGTTGCCATTGCCAGTATCGCTGATACCGCTGTCTGGTCTCACCACGCAGATGGACGCCTTGCGCTGGGCGCGGGGCAGCGTCGCAGTACCCCTCTCCGTGTGCAGCATGCCCTGCAGAGCAGGCGAGCGGAAGAAGATGGTGAAGGGTGTGCCGTGCTGCTGGCACTGCGAGCGCTGTGAGGGCTACCACTTCCAGGCGAGCGAGTTCAGCTGCGAGCTGTGTCCGTACGAACAGCGGCCCGACCGCAACCGCACCGGCTGCCAGCCCATCCCCATCGTCAAGCTGGAGTGGCACTCACCCTGGGCCATGGCGCCAGTCTTCATCTCCATGCTGGGCATCGTGGCCACCACCTTCGTCATCGTCACCTTTGTGCGCCACAACGACACGCCCATCGTGCGTGCCTCGGGCCGCGAGGTCAGCTACGTGCTGCTGACGGGCATCTTCCTATGCTACGCTACCACCTTCCCCATGATCGCAGCCCCCGATGCCGCCATCTGCTCGCTGCGCCGCATCTTCCTGGGCCTGGGCATGTGCTTCAGCTACGCCGCCCTGCTCACCAAGACCAACCGCATCCACCGCATCTTCGAGCAGGGCAAGCGGTCAGTGACGGCGCCGCGGTTCATCAGCCCGGCCTCCCAGCTGGCCATCACCTTCAGCCTGATCTCTGTACAGCTACTGGGCGTCTTCGTGTGGTTCGCCGCTGACCCTCCGCATACCGTGGTGGACTACGGCGAGCAGCGCACCCAGGACCCGGAGAATGCCCGCGGGGTCCTCAAGTGCGACATCTCGGACCTCTCCCTCATCTGTTCCCTCGGATACAGTATTCTGTTGATGGTCACATGCACTGTGTATGCCATAAAAACAAGAGGAGTCCCAGAGACCTTCAACGAGGCCAAGCCCATTGGCTTCACCATGTACACTACCTGCATCATTTGGCTAGCATTCATTCCCATCTTTTTTGGGACAGCACAGTCAGCAGAGAGGGTAAGTCGGCTTAATTACTCCCCCGTCTTGCAGCTGGCTAATTACTTCCTGTTGAACATTAAGAGAGTACCTCAGTGTGACATCCTGCCTGTTTTATGCAAATTCTACCTGTAGTATGGCAGTAAAGACAACTAAACTGCAAAGTAACAAAACTCGCTCAGTCCATTTTTTCGTTCTTGAGATAAGACCTCCAGAAACCTAAACTCAGGCTTCCACTTCATATGTTACTGTGTTGGGAACCAAAACACACTCCTCAACTTTTGTTAAATTTTCACAGAAAAAAATTCCACAGATATTTTTTCCTCAGAAACGTACCCCATGGCTCTGAGTGAGTTTTGGAAATTTAGAATAGAAGAATAGAATATATCTTTATTGTCATTGTAGATACAACGAAATTTGCTCTTCAGTTCTGGTAGCTCAGGTTTGAGGAGGTCATATCTGAAGAAGGACTAGCTGGAGGCTGGAGCCTGAAGGGTGGCTGTCCCTGCTCCCGTGTGCCTGCTCTGACCGGGGTGCCCCCCTGTGCCTCTGACCGGGGTGCCGCCTCTGTCCTGGGTGCCCCCCTGTCCCTCTGACCGGGGTGCTCCCCCTGTGCCTCTGACCGGGGTGCTCCCCCTGTGCCTCTGACCGGGGTGCTCCCCCTGTGCCTCTGACCGGGGTGCCCCCCCGTATCGTTCAGATGCAAGCAAGACTGCAAACCATCTCAGGCACGTTCTCTGCGTCAGGCCAGGGCCCATGTGCAGCTGATTAATTACCCACCGCGGTGTGTAGTAATGTATTCCGTGATTAGATACATAGCCATCTGCTGTCGATGTTAACTGTGGCTTAGCATATTTCCTGTATCCGTGTTTTGGCATCGGTGTGAGTCATGGAAGACGAGGTCTGTGAGGAACATCCGGGGCTGAGGCTCGCAGCCACTGAAAGCCCTGAACACCTCATGTATGTTTTCCCGCTTTTCCTCTCCCCACCACCGGCGTGTGATCTTTCCTCTGCCAGGAGACCAGCCTTTCCGTGAAATCAAAGTCCTCGCGACTTTGCTTACAATAGCAGCCCACGGGTTCCGCTGAACTGCCGTCAAAGGGATCGGCCGGATACCGCAGTGTGCCGACGACACGGTGGAGGTTTCAAAGCCTCGTTTTGCAGTCCCTGCCGTTTGTGGCGTCTCATTTAATTCCTCGCAAAAGGGCAGCGATGAACAGAATGTATCAGCAGCCTGGGCAGCCTCCCCTCACTGGCCTGGTTCGCCTCTCCCTGCCCAGACCTCATTAACACCGCTAGAGAATGGGAATAACCCCGCCAACTGATCCTGTTTTCTGTTTTGTCTCTCTTTGTCACCCTGTGTGTGTGTGTGTTTGTGGTGGGGGGCGACATCGCCAACAGGGGATGACAATTATTTTTAGCCCAATTTTCCATCTTGAAAGTCTTCAGCCACAGGCAAACGGATTCCTCTGCAGTGGCGTCAGAGTTGGCATAAAAACGTACATTGTCTAAGAAGGATTTACGTTTTGTCTCTGTGATATAATGGCCAGTGGAGTAGATAGCTATTACACAGTTAGGTGATACCAGTGGGTAGACGACGGCGGAGTAACTGTCGTCTCGCAGTTCCTCTGTTAACGGTTCCTTATTACAGCCACAAACACAGGCATAGCAAGCAGAAAGGAGGTGATACGTAAGTTTGGCTCGGACAGGGAAGTGACTGGCATGTGTTTCTCCTCAGCATGGCCAAGAGGCAGGCTGAAAAGCAGACTGTATCTGTTCAGACCTACAGCAGACACGGGTCTCCCCTGAGAAGCAGTTGGTGCCTAAATCACATACAGCAGGCTGCTGCTGTGGCACTCGCAGTGTTGAGTCTGACAGTTGCTGTCATTAGCCATCTTAAGACGCTGCAAGAAGGGGGTGGGATGGTGCACCAGCCTCCATTCAGACCTCAAGCTGGCATCTGTTCGCTCTGTGCTGCCCCCTGGGGCTCATGGGGAGCACTGCATGCACGCCACTTATAATGCCCCCTGCATGTTCAGGATCTTACTTATTAATTAATCTCAAATGAGCTTTTCCCACAAGAAAATATAGTTGTGAATTTTTTTATTGGATGCAACTGTAACATCCTTCAGATGAGAGGTTTTGGCCATGAAAAAGGTGCTAGATTAATGATTTAAAATTATAAATGACTAATTACCTTTCATTTAACTGTATCCGTGCCCTTCAAACAAATGCATGGGAATTCCAACTGCATAGCACTAATTATTTTGTAAATCAATATAATTCTTCAACAAACAGTGACTTCTCATTAAATGATATGTTTACCATAAATATTGTTAAGACAAGGCCACACCATTTGACAGCTCGAGCTTGTATTGGTTGGCGAAGTAGATTCTTGAAGCAGTGTAGAATAGCGTTTGTTTCTAGGTCACCTGACATGCCCCTCATGTGCAATTAAAGATGACAATCACACGGACGGAGCGGCCATTGAGAGAGATGGCTTGGGGCAGGCACATGCCACAGTGTATCTGGTCGATGCTACGGGGATATTTGTCAGAAAAACAGCTCAGCATATTACTGTGTTAACCTGGAGCTAAAGATCTAGACTAATCTATCGATTGGGTGCTAAAATCCTCTCTTCAGTAGCATAAACACTGTCCACTCAAGTTCTACATGTGCTATGGCATCGCCACCTCTTCATCTTTTATTGGTCATAAACATGGGTAGGAGATTTTCTCAGCATCTGCAGTCTTTCTGAGAAATCCTGCTCTCATTCTTGTTAGCCTGCTTGCCGTCATTTCTGCTTATATACCCTGAATTGAATAAACCTGATATCTAAAAGCCTTTTAGTACGTTTCTGACTACGTCTGATTTAGCAGCATGCTGTCCTGCATCATTTACTGTAGATGTTCTAGGATTGTATTATCAGTCCCCATGATGAATCTCCCTAACAGTATTAACCAGCCTCTCACAACATCAGATTTAATCAAATTTGGCCTGTGGATAATATGTTCATTTCTGTTTAGTCATCACTGCTGCTTAACTTCATAAAATGCACCTTCTTCCCTGCTGACCAGTCAGTTTCGCTTTCCAGCTCTTTATTTACTAATGACACCCAGAAACAGGTATTACTGCCTGCAGAACATAACACAAATGCGTGCAACCTACTTTTGCGGATTTGCACAGGAGCGAGGTGCCAACATACATATTAAGAATTTCTTCCTGGGGAAAAGGTGCTCACTTTTATGGCAAGGAAACTATTTCTGCCAATGCAGATAAATGGAAAAGCTTAGTGGAGGTAACTTTAGGTGAAATTCGGAAGGAGAGAAAACAATGGCGTGTCATTGTGAGCAGTAAGCAGCCTTTACGGAGCCCATTCACAGTGAAGCACAGTCTGTCAGGCGTAATAGCAGCATGTTTATAAAAGCTGACGGCTAAAAATGGAAACATCTGCTTTGCTGTGACTTTCAGCCATACTGGAAACCAAATCCCAAGGGGCCATATGTGGATATAAATGTCGCAGGCGAGACAAGACGCTCCCCTCACATCAGACTGAAAGGGGGCTTCTTTAAAGTTTCCTTTGTTACAATTCAGCTGTTTTTCCTATACAGTGTCAAATTCAGTCAGGCAGCCCTCACAGTATGTTGATATACTCTTGAATTCCAGGGGTGGTCTGTAGCACAGTGTGGTAGGGGTCTGTATCCGGAAGGTCATTGGTTCACATCCCGTGGTCGGAAGAATTATTATATCACAGTTGGGCTCTTGAGCACAGCCCTTAACCCCTACTGCTCCAGGAATGCAACCTGCTGGCTGACCCTCTGTTCTGACCCCAAAACCGTGTCTGTCACGGAGTGTAAGATGGGGCATATGGAAACCAATGAATTCCTGCATATCTTATACAAAGGGCAAATGAAGTATCCCTTATCTTGTCAGCTAGTGTACACGGCAAAGCCCAATGCAAACCCTATATAGACATGTACAGATACTGTATTACGCTGTGTGACATTCTGTGATCTGGACCCGAGGAGGAAGGTGTTTGTTATTTATTGTTTATTGTTAACACTTTCCAGGGAAAACTCAATAATAAAAGTAAAAAATTATAAAAAAAGGATGGGTATTCATCACGTTGTGGGGACATTGTGTCACCATATGGTAAGGTATACCCGCTCACACACACGCACACACATACACACACACCAACCATTCGCAGCTCTGGGCAATTGGGTAACTCTAATTATCTAAGTATGTTTTTCGACTGTGGGGGGAAATGTTTACATGCACAGCAGTTATAGCTCAACTACGCCATTTAATCAGACTGCTGTCCTTGGCCCAGTATACATGCATGGGGGGGAATCGATTTAATGACCGAAGTATGACTCCGGTACAGTAGGTGGCGGTATGGCTCCTCTCAGCACGTTAGTATTATGCTTGAAGTGACCGAAGCTTTAATTGTGATCTGGTCAGAAGAACAGATAGAAGATCAGGATAGCATAACAAGAAATAAAGTATTTTGCATAATATACTATGGCAGCAAAGTATTGGAAATTTTTCAAATATCGCAATGTGGTTTTGTTGTAATAAATATTGGGGTATTTTTAAGTTCAACATAAATTTCTCACAAACCCGTCAAGGAGTGATTTAAACAGCAAGGATGAAAATGATTATGATTGTCTTGGAGTATGCGTGCAGCGCTTGTGCAGAAGCAGCAAGGTAAATTTTAAACTGATTTTCACACATGTACTAGATAATCTTAAAAAGGAATAACCTTTAAAATTGCCAAACTTGCAGGGTTTTTCACATGACAGAGTAAAAATGTTTTGCGCCATAATACCAAATTGAAGGTAAAAAGCCTGATCTTAATTTAGCTGACTAGCAATGTAAAAATTGCATGTGCATAACGTGATGTTGGTATTAATGTCGCATGTTGTACAATCCAACTACAGCCTTTTTTCAAATTCAGTACAAAATACTCGCCTTGCATTGTAATGTCATTTGACGCCGGTACCAGTTTTTACAGCAGT